GGTATTGGTATCAGGTGTTGTTTTGCATGGCCTCTTGGGATTCTACCTGTCTATTTTCCAATGAACGGTAAGATTGAATGTGTTTAAGTAGCAGTCATTCATCCCTCCTTTTGAAATGTCATCATACCACATTAAGGGCCTGATCTACTGAGATCCCAAATAACACACGCTAAATTATGTGTGTCCTGAGCGCATGGAAACTTGACATACTTGCCCATCCTACGTGACAAAGCATACAACACTTGGGACAGCACACCAGAAAAACTACTCTGGGAGACGCGCTAACTGTGATGGTGCGTTGGAATGATCCAGGTGCAGGAAAATGCAGTGTTGTAAAAAGGTTTTCAATAGGAGATATGGCATGGATCATTTTTGTGACTGGCTCCAAATCAGCCCTTAGGTCACCCAGCAGCTCAAAAATGGCATTATTATTACTATGCTCTACTATTTCTATTTCTGCCAGTCCAAATATGTTGACTCAGAGACTATCTCTCTCTGTTGTCTGTCATTGCATCTATGACTCCTTCTCTCCACATTGACCGCAGCCATTTGTGCATAATACTGTTCCAGTTTAAACCTGCCTGTAAGAGCCATTCACCGTGTAAGAGCTGTTCATTTTATTCACCTGGTGTAGTACTCTAATTGAGTCAGTGGGTGTCGCTGTCCTGTGGCACTACCAAAGGTATTTAGGGAACACTGATTCATTTCACCTGTGGTTGGTTTGTTGATCCCGGAAGAGCCAAGCGGTTTCTGACCGACGCGGTGGCGGCTGTGGCTGTGTCTGCAAATAAATATGGATTATTGTGCATCCCAGTTGAGACTACCTTTTTCTGAACAAAGCTTACGGTAAGCCATCTGCGTGTGAGCCAGGTGTCCTGGGAGTCAAGCAAACCATGCTAGTTTGGTATTAGATCAAGCTGCAATACTGCCTTTCAAACTTGCTGAATATAGACACAAAAACAGTGACCAAAATCGGTTTCCAGCTTTGAAAAATCACATTGTGTGTGCTAAATAGTTCCATTTGCATCTCCTCCTCCCAGTATTTTTTTCTCATAATCTGCATACATTTTACATACTTATGAAGGCAAACAGGCTAAATAGATTGCATGGCTATTTAGCTTATTTGACAGACACTATACTTGTGAGATGTTCTTCCCTGGATTCAGAAAGTCTTTATCCTCCATAGCTGTGGGGTGACAAGAACAGATTGGTAACCACTGCTGTAGAATGTTGTACAAACAGCATGTCTCAGATCCTTTTTCAAGACAGAGTAATACTCTTATACTGCAAACGTTTACAATACAAAAACTTTATTGATTCCCAATGGGGAATTTGTTCATCTGGAGTCTCATGTCATCTACTATTCATTTATTCACTTCAACATTTAACCATGAAAACCAGTTAGAGGCTGTCTAACAGGTGACTGACATCGAAGCATGGGCCAAAGTTAGTCTGTGTTTGGTGTTAAACCTGGTGCGTCTTTATGACAGATCTGTTTTTGTTAATGGAGTCTGGTGCATTTATAAGGTAGCACTTCTTTTTGGTTGAGATTTGACTGTGTTTGCTGGGATCCTTTCTTTAAGGAAGCAAAAAATATATATATGACAAAATGAGGCATTTGTCCCTCCTTTGACTGCCAAAGAAATAAATCTGTTGCAGCATTCCCAAAACTTTTTGTACCTCTTGGCTATGTAGACCCTGAGTTATTTAAAAAATGAAGCATCATGCTGTAATGGAAGCAGGCAGAATGCTGGTTGTGTCTGCATGAACAGGAGGGATGAACAAGGAAGGGAAATCTGTTTGATCCATCTTTCATTATGATCTCGCTCCTTATTCTGATTTCAGCTCAGCTGTTCAGGGTTGCATCATAACCTCAGCCTGCCTCAATGCGGCATGCTGGGAGAACTGGGAAATCTCAATCTTGGATCATCCCCCTGATTTTGTTCGAAAAATGAGAGCTGGGTTTTTTTGGGCCATGAAGCTCAGTGTGTGAGTTTGCAGGGAGGAGAAAAACAGATAGAGGGATTGATTGTGATGAAGAGAAAGAGATGAGCAAGTGTTGATGAACCTTTATTGGAGACAATAAAGGAGACGTTGGAAATAAGGGACCAGATGACAGAGAGAAAGAAGAATGGAAGAAAGTCATAAGGAAAACAGGAAACTATTGATGCGACTTACCCGTACTTATTCCTCATACTCTAAGTACTTCTTGTTAAATCATACTGGTTGCACTAAGCATGGCTGCCAGCAAAAATAATCCCCTGCCAAACCTTTGCAGGATTACGCCAGAAATTTGTAAAATCAAAGAGTTTGCTCGGGGACAAATCACCAGAACATGGTGAAACAGAGAGCAATCTTACTGGTCTGGACAGAAACATGACAACAAACAAGCTGCCAGCTTAATTTGTCTTACAGGGAGCAATGAGCTTGTTTGGCAACAGATCCTCAGCTAATAAACACCACTGGATTTTAGGTCTCCAAAAACCAGAGGTTTGGCTCCACTTACAAATACTTTTCCACCCTTTAGCAGTGTTTGTGTACCCCAGCCTGAAGATAAAATACATTAATAGCATCTATAGAGGACCTGTTCACCCCCAGAGTCAGGACTAACAAAAACAAAAGGTATCATTGAAGATTCCCACTGAAGATTCACCTGTCATACATCAGCAGTCATATTTACAGTAATTTGGATTGATTTTGAGATCACACTTATTCAGCCTAACTGTTAATGAGTTCATATGTGTACTACACACATTTACATAACTTGAAATCTCTTCAAAACTTCAACACTAACTTTGAGCACTAATCATACCTGAAGGGATCATGGATCAGTTTTTCACTTCACTTTAAGAGCTCCGATTTCTTTTTGTTGAGAATGCTCTCTATTTATTTTTTAACTATGCTATTTAGAATGAAAACATTTGAGCTCTACCACAATTTAAGTACATGTTATAATAGGCTGCGAATTCAACATATCATTTAGCCTTTGCACACCTTCACAAGAGTTATGTTGTATTCACACCAGATTCCAATAAAACTGTTTCATTCACACTTAATTTGCGTGAAATTGAAAGCCTGGCTGTTTCTTGTTGACCCGCTTCATACAGTGAAAAACTCCCTCTATGATGATGATCCATGTCCTGTCTTCATACATGCCCAAACATAAGAATTTATGCAGGAGAGATTTTTCCTTCCCCTTGTGTTAGACTGTTTTCATCAAACATGGTTGAGGTTGACTGATTTGTTTTGTTTGCACAATTCACCAGATAATTCGACCTCCTCCAAGCTAGCTGTTTATTCCCGTTTCCATAGGAAAAAAAAGTTGTATGGTATAGCTCTGAGCAGCCACATTCTTCATAATCAGTTTGTCCTTATAATCCAGATGAATGACTCTCCACCTGTCCATCCTTGACATACGCCACGGGAAGTCTTCGTGTTGATTGGCTACTGCAGCACAAGTGATTGGCCAGAGATCAGAATCCACATCATTTCAGCATACAGTAGTGGTGTGTCGGTCTTGAACGAACGGATCAAAAGAACTAGTTCTTTTTGGTGAACGAAATGAACTAGTTCTCCCCCCCTAAATGACCCGTTCAGTCCGTTCAGTTCTTTTGATTGGCTGAAGAGGGACTATCTCCGTGCTTGCCTGTCTTATCGTATCGTCGCGCCTCGTTCTGTGTGTGGGTGGGGCTTAGAGAAGCAGCAGCAGTACTACTGAGCTGACTGAAAGAACGGGTTAAATGAACGAAAGACCGAGTTGAACGAAAGAACGGGTTAAATGAACGAAAGACCAAGTTGAACGAAAGACCGAGTTGAACGAAAGACCCAGACCGATGAACGAGTTGACTGAAAGACCGAGTGAACGAAAGATCCAGACCGATGAACGAGTTGACTGAAAGACCGAGTTGAACGAAAGACCCGGACCGATAAACGAGTTGACTGAAAGACCGAATTGACTGGCCGCCGCACGATCCGACAGCCGAGCCCGAGCGAGTGGGACAGTCACACACACACACACACACACACACACACACACACACACACACACACACACACACACACACACACACACACACACACACAAAGGCACACAGCTGCTGCTGCAGCCAGAGGCAGAGAGAAACTATTAATATGAATTTGCACTGTCTGTTGACATTTTGTACTTTTTATTATTGTTTTTTATGCACCTCAAAATAATAAAAACCATTAAAAACCTTATATATTTTGTTATTCCTACTATAATTTTATATTACAAGGAGTGCAGCGCGATCGCAGCGTTGGACCGTGGGTGGGAAGTGGGGAGTGCAGTGGTCACAGCGTCGGACCGCGGAGGGGTCGTAACGTCGGACCGGGGAGCTGAGACGCTCTCAACGTCGGATCCGGAGGGGTGTAATGCTTCAGAATTCAAGATCACATGTTGCGCTGTTGAGTCTGAAGTGCAGTCAGTCCGTTCACTCATCAACATGAACGAGCGGACTGACTAACGACCGATTGACCGAAATGAACGGGTCTTTTTACTGAACGACCCGGAATGATCTGGTTCACTGAAATGAACGGTTTTGCCCACCACTAGCATACAGCTAGTTTAATTCATACCCTTTGCACTATGTCATTCTATTCACCGACAATATCTTACACCTCACTGCATCTTCATGTTGACTTAATATGTAAATCACTATAAATATTTTTCACATCTGATTTGAAAACAACATTAGGCATACATTTTAATAAAACACCCTGTTATGTTGCTGATTAGCCAGGAAGTTGTTATCTCCTTACTGCTGGTCAATTATTGTCTTGTCATGCTAACGCCCTCCCTTGGCTTTTCAGGCAATCTCACATCTGCCTCTTCCTGCTCCTCTTCCTGCTCTCCTCTCAACTCCTCCTGCTCCACTTCATGTTTCCTCCTCCTCCTGTTCTTCTTTCTCCTCCTCCTGCTGTTCCCTCTGCTGTCCTTCTCCTGCTCCTCTCTCCTCCTCTCTCTGCTCTCATCTCTTCTCCTACTCCTGCTGCTCCTCTCCCTGTTTTCTTCTCTCTGCCCTCATCTCTTCTCCTCCTTCTCCTCCTCCTGCTGTTCCTCTCCCTGCTTTCCTCTCTCCTCCTGCTGCTTCTCCTCCTGCTCTCCTCTTTCTTACTCCTGCTCCTCTCCCTGCTGACCTCTCTCCCCCTCCTTCTCCTCCTGCTGCTCTCCTCTCCCTATTCCTTTCCCTGCTCTCCTTTCTCCCCCTGCTGCTCCTCTCACTGCTGTCCTCTCTCCTCCTGCTGCTCCTTTCCCTCCTCTCCTGTCTCCTCTCCCTGCTCTCCTCTCTCTCCTTCTGCTCTTCTCCCTGCTCTCTTCTCCCCTCTTCATTCTCATCTCCCTGCTGTTTTCTCTCCTCCTCCTCCTGTTTCTCTCCCTGCTCTCCTCTTTCCATCTGTTGCTATATTAGTTTAGTAGTTTATGTCCTCGAGCTCCAGAGCTATATTGTTTATCAACTTGAGCTGTTTAGGTGAGGTGTTGCTGTTGGGAAGAGGAGCAGAGCACATTCTGTGCTGTGAAAGACAAGAGGATGTGCTTTATTAATTTAATGGGACCATAAAGTACCAGGGTTAGTACTAATTTAAAGCCCCTTATCATAAGCATATAGAAGACAGGCTAAATGAAGACCCTGATGTGGCCCTGAAGGTCGTGCTAACACCACTTTTCTTTCTGTCTAACACATGTTGAGTTGTTTTGTCAAGGTTTGTTTGACTTGTACTCTGTCTTCCCTTCAAAGATGTCTGTTTGGGTTTATGTTTTGCTCATGTCTGACTTTGTGATGAGCTCACAGAAAACTCAGTGTCATTAAGCTAAGAGAAAGAAAGAGCTTCAAACAACAGATGTACAGCCTCTGAAATGACTCCCTGATCACACAGTACACTTTGTTTACCCCCTGCTTTTTAATTAAGTTTCTGAACTGAACTCTCAACTCACTGCCCACTATAGAATCAACTAATGTGTGTTTTTAATTCAGGGAGTAATAAAAGAGTGAAAGGGGGGGAGTAATGTTCAACTTAGACATGGATAACACCTGGGATTGTTTGATTTTCTGCAAACAAACCAAGGCCAGATTATGATTAAACAAACAAACACTTTGACTGCAGTTATTATGATGCATTATTTAATTTCAACACCAACAAGTGACACTGTCAGTATCATTGCAAACTATAAACACACTGTGGTGCTAACCCCACCTGTACCGATCAGCTGCTGAGCTTTTGGTCTGCTTCTGGTTTCTTATCAAAAGGGGCTTATAGACGGGGATTCCAAGCAGCCAATGCACTCGCTATTGACAAGAACCTCATAAAGCCTGACTCAAAAGCAACGGAACTATCACTCAAAGGGTTCTTTACATGATGACAAACTGAGTATGGTGGCTGTGTCTAGCATCATTTACATGTTTGCTCCTTTTGCACTGACTGGTATTACTTGAGTCAAGACCACCCTTATGAGACAAGGACATGACTGAGACCCGAGTGCACTAAGACCACGTACATCAATGTAAATTTGCACAAAATGATAGTTTTCTTTTTTTAAGTTTTCTTTTAAATGAATGCAACAATTACAAACAAGACCTCTGCATTTTGCTTTTCCAGAGCCCCCTATTGCAAAACGTCCGCAATCTGGGGAATTGAGTTCATTGAACTACAAAAGTCACTATTAGTATTTTATTTTATTTTAACATTTTATTTGTGATTATTCACTGGGTTTCTGTATCAGAAATAAGGAACTTGTCTGAATTGGCTGTTTTACAGGTAACTTAAGCTTACTTGCCTTTTGCTGCCTTTTGATGTGACAGTACAAGTTTCCTGTGGTCCCTGCCATTTTTATGAGCTATGTGCTGCAGAATTTGAACACTCTAAGAGTCTTCCTTTGCATGAGGATTGAAAGAGAAACTTCTTCTGATTTCAGAAACCGAACCTCATGTATCTAACTCCAAATGAATTGTTGAAGTTGTTGGCTGTTTTAGAAACATGTTTTATACCTCCTGTGATAAGGAGCCAGTTAGAGGTGGTGTTGATTGAAAATCCAGAGTTTGCCTTGTTGGAGTCTGAGTTTAGACTGAGATAAAATTACAGAGATCTTGAAAAAGGGGGGCTTGAGGCCAGATTGATACTTAGATATTGCTGTTGAAATGTTTGAATCTGGTCATTGTCATTTTACACAAGCAGGAGTCATATTTTGTAGACCATGAGGACTGTAAATATTTGAATTTTGAAAAGGTGCAGAATAGGGAGACTAGGAGAGGGCATGTCTTCTAAAAGGATTTTGTTTCATTTCATTTCATTTAAATTTCTGGAGACAGTAGAAGATCTTAAAGGCTATAAAAAATAAAGTTTTATCCACGGTATCCAGGTTATTTCTCTCTTTGAATGTTTTTCATGACTCTCTCTCTCTCTCTCTCTCTCTCTCTCTCTCTCTCTCTCTCTCTCTCTCTCTCTCTCTCTCTCTCTCATTGCTTGGTTAAAACTCACTGCTGGAGCTGTGATTCATTGACTGTCACACTTATTCATCTGCTCACATTCAGGAAAGAGGAGAAAGGTTTTTTATGATATCAGAGAGGGAACAGCTTTAATAATTGTTTCCTAAAATAATGACAGCCCCTATTGCAAAGACGTATCCTTCACTGTGGTCAGCCCATCCTCCTTCCAGCACAAGAATACATAATAAAAAGAGATTTCTCTCTCTCTCCTCTCATTCTCACTCGTTGTCTCTCACCCACTCTGTGGATAACACTTGATTTTTCTCTGCCTCTCTCATTCCTCTCGTTTTCCTCTGCAAAAGAAATCTTTCAGGCATGTCCAATTGGCTCTGGCCACCACGTGCATGTCTCCCAAGTGGGAATAAACCATAAAAACCTCACACATGGACTCACACACATGCATGCGTGCACACACACTTATAAATGAAGCTGTGACTCAAGGAATAGCCCACTAAGAGAACATCAGACTTCTCATTAAAAGCTGGCTATACCGTCCCTGTCCCCTTTCGTGTGTGCACGTATGAATGTAAGTGTGTGTGCATGAATGTAAGTGTGCATGCAAGAATATAGGTGTGTGTGTGTGATTGTGTGTGACATGGACACAGATCCCAGTGGTAATATTGTGGGTCCACGCCTGGTTATGTGCCACAGAGGTCCTTTTTAGTGGACCCCGGCTGCACACACTCACTCACACAGAGACACAGATGCACATAGACAAAGTAAATTGGATAGATTTATATTATTGCTGTTGTAAAACTTTTCTTTCCTTCCTGTCTGGCCTTTATTTCTCCACCCTTTTATCTCTCCTCTTTTGTTCCCCTTCTTTTTTCTTTGTAGTCACAAAAACATTCACAAACTCTCATTTTTCCTCTTGTGCTGTACTTTCTTTCTTCTTAACAATGTCATTCAGCCGATAGTCCTCTTTAGCTGGTACAACCAATCATGTCTGCCTGTAAAACCTTACTCTTTCTATTCATTAAATAATACTCACATTGGTGAATAAAATAAGCTTTGGATTTGGATAAAAACCCATTTAAAACTTGTTCTGGGATTTCTAAACTGCAGATTTAGCCACAGAAAATGTTTCAAAAAGAAAATTGGGCAGAAAATATTACCATTAAATATGTGAACGGTCATTCTTCTGTCTACCTCTCCAAGGCCACACCAAGCCTCAAAGCCTCATTTTATTAGAAGACATCCTTCAGGATCACAGCCCTCATGTCCCCTGGTCTGGTGCTTCTTCCTGTCTCTAAGAACATCCAAAAGAGAGAAACTTTTTAGCTTTTCACCTGTCAAACATTTTCAACACTTTTCACTCAAGTGGAAACTTTAACAGAGATCTTTAGCTGCAGGGATTTGAAGGATTTCTAGACAACTGCAAAGAAGGTAGCTCACCTTAGTGTAGCTTTAACTTTAAACTTCAACATCAGGATCAGCCGTGTTTGATATAGCCAACCTGTTAAAGTATTAACGCTACCTTTACTTTTTATTTGGATTAAGGAACTCTTACCAGTTTTAAGATTTAAGTTTATATGCATACCGCCATTATTATGATTTACTGTTTTTGCTCACCATTGAACATTACTGTATTTCAGTTACTTGCTTGTGCTGCTTTCTGGATGCTCCGAGTTTATTAAGGTTCAAGTATCTTTGTGTTCACTTCAAAATAATTGTCTTATCTCTTATATATCTGCTTACATACCAGCTGCTCATCAAATTTCCTTTAGGATGACAATGAAAATAGATGAACTTTTGTCAGGTACACCCATTGTAGAGTTGTTCTTGTTTGATTTGCAGCTCCAAAAATGTATTTATTTATTTATTTCATACTGGCACCTGTGAAATCCTCAAAGCAGCCTCTGCTTTCACTGCTTCTTTTTTGCTGCTTTATCACTGACAAAGTGAGACAAGCTCAGAGTGTTGCTTTTAACACAGCACCATAGTCATACAGTGACATGAAAATGATGGCATTGAGTTATTGTCTGAGGCTAGCAGATAGCACCCACTTAGCTCCATATTTAGCCACATTAGCATAAGGTAGCTATACTGTCAAGCATATGGTAGCTACAGGTTGAGACACAGCTTACTTTTTACTCAGCTTTGTAACTGTGCAATGATCCAGTTTTTTTCTGAGTACAGACTTTACAGCCCAGCTCAGCTTGGTGTTTAGCCAAATTAGTGAAATAAAATAAGAGCTCATTACACGAGGCTCAGCTGTACTTTAGGTTGAATCATGTTCTTTTGATTTTTCAAGCCATGCATTCAAAGTCAGAAGTTTAGTTTTGTGAATAAACGTCAGATTGATTGAATACACAATGGCCTGCTAGCAGGAATCAGCCTTTGGCACAGATTTTATCATCAAGAGTTTTAAAGATTTCAGATAAATGTAGCAGCTGCATACATGAAAAATAGAATAATAAACTCATGCTGTAAATAGAACCTGAAGTTTATGATAATGTTGCTTACATCTGTATTTAGTGCGATAATAGGTGCAAGAAAGGCTGGCCTTTGTTACTTAATTCTAAGTAATCCAGGAAACAGGGTAATATCATGAATGACATGCCACTTTATCATGTAATGTCAGTTGTTCCGTAAATCTGCTTAACCCTGTAAAACCCAAATATAGAAAAACGCAACAAAATTAAAAAATTCAACCATTCAGATGTTGTTGTAGGAGGCCTTTGGGGGTGAAAATGGAGTGTTTTCAAAAATGTTATGTTTTAGTACATTTTTACAGAAATGTTGTAATATTGCAACGTTGGGCTTAATGGGGAGCAGAATCTCCTGTATTTCCACTCATTGTCTGAACAACAATACAGAACGAAGGATTCATTTGCAGGGTTTTGCTAAAATAACTCAACCTTAATATGCACTGCATTGGTCAGCATACTAAGCTTTAAAACATGTTGAAG